CTGTGGATAGGCAGTGCCACTGTGCTGTGGCCATGGTCACTGTGCCATGGCTGGGGACACTGCAGAGCAGCCAGGATCTCTTGCCATTGCCAGGGTCACTGTGCTGTTCCAAGAATTACTGTCCTACAGTCACTGTGCTGCTTCTGGGGATAGCGTGTCACAGGCAGGGGTGGGGTGTCCTTGCAAGGGTCACCATCCCATGCCAGTGTCACCGGGCAATGGCAAAGGCTGCTGTGCTGTGGCCCTGTGAGCAGCTGGGCTGTTGGCGATGCCATGGCCTGGAGCACGAGGTCACCACGCTGCTCAGCTCACATGTGCTGTGGACACTGAGCCCAGGATAAACGCCCCTTCTGTACCCAGACCCCCAGAAAGAGTGGCTGTCACCCTTTGGGGATGCTCAGAGGCCCTGCAGCCAGGAGGGCTCTCAGACCTGGCACAGGAGCTCTGGCTGCTCACCAGGACCAGTGGCCAGGAGCAGAGAGCAAGGTTTGGCAGCTGCTCTTTGCTGTTGCACATTCATAGCTGGTGCAAGAAAAGGGAAGTGAAAATGTTTGGGGCTGAGCTCTCGCTTACCTCACACATGGAAGGAGGCACCCAGAGCTACCACGGGACGGGCAGAGGCCAAGCCCCATCCCTGCTCCCTCCCCATGGACAGCAGGAAGGAGGAAAAAGAAGAACCTTAGAGGGAAACCCTCGATTAGCTCGGAGGGAGTTCCCCCCGCGGCTCCAGGACCATGTCCTGAGTTGGTTTTCACAGCACGGCGATGCTGATCCCGGTTCCATAGATACCGATGCCATGACAACCCTGACATCATCCGTGCTCCGGAGCGGAGCTGCAGGGAAAGGCGCAGGGAGGAGGAGCACGCTGGCCCTGCTGGCACTGGGCTGTGGGGCTGGGGGCTTCCCCTGGCCCCAGCACAGCCCCACTGCAGCCCCATTCCCCTTGCAGGGACCGTGCCACTGCCACAGCCCTGTGGGGCAGGTGTCACACCCCTGACACACACAGTGCAGTCACAGAGAGCAGGATTCCCGTGGATCCTGTTTCCAGCTCCTTTTGGCCCTTTTCAGCTTTGTCAGTCTGTTCTTTCTGGAGGGTTGGGATCAGGATTTAACTGTTGAAGCTCATAATGATGCCACGCAGTTTTTCTCAATTACAGGTGAGTCATGATCTCTCCAGGTCTATTTCTGACTCCCAGCAGGAAAAGCAGAATTCAGCCCTTCATTCCTCAGTGTCACCAGCTCAGTAACCAGCATATTTTTCTGGGCAAAACCGAAATGGCCATGAATTGGCCATGAATTGGTCCCTCCTGCTTTCTGCTGGCAGGATGGCTCCTGGAGCTGGCCAGGGATGGTACCCCAGTGCCAAGAGCATCATTGCCAGCTCATCCCTGAATTGCAGGTCAGGAACAAAGACCAAATTAACTTGAAGGGATTACCCGAGGTGTGATTTTCCATCAGCTTCAGCAGCTTAGAAGCAGCTGTTTCAGCATCCCCAAAAACCAGTTTCATGCTTTGGGAACAAACCATTCCATACCCATCAGCCCAGTTCCCTGTGATGGAAGGGCTGTCCTGCTCCTCGAGGGTGGCCAGTGCCAGGGAGGCAGCGTGTCCCAGGACACTGCACAGGGAATCAGCTGGACCTCTGGGCTCTGCTCCTGCTTTTCTGATCATGTTGGGAAAGCTGCTTTTTCCTCCCTCTTTCTAAAACATCTTGCCTGGCTCATCTGTCCCAGCTGGAACAGGAATATTTTGGACAATGCAGAGCACAAGGACACTGCCTGAATCTTTGAGATGTTGCCCTAGAACCAATCATGACCATTTCTAGACAGGTCAGTGCTTTATACCCTTCAATGTATGCCTGTGGTGCATCAGACATTGAGATCCTTGCTCCTAAACTTGTCCTTTCTTTGGGTTCATCCCCCCAACTTCTGCTGTGTGCAGTGTTTATACAATCATTGCCCACATCATGGGGTGCCAGTTTTCTTCTCCTGCTCCAGCTCAGGGAAGGCACAGGAGATATCTCCAGCCCACATACAAACTGTCTTTCTGTCTCGCTTCCTATTGCTGAAAATCAACAGATACACAGAGCCAGCCAATAATGGGGAAGGATATTGCACCTTCCACATTTTCCCCATCAAATAGAGAACAGCAGTGCTTGGAAATGGCATTTCCCAGAGGATTTGTTCAGTTTGAACAAGTTTTGTCTGTATTTACCGTTCCCACTGGATTTCAGGGACAGGGAACAAGGACAGGAAGCAAACAGAGCAGCACACACACAACCGCCCCAGAGCTGCCCATGTTTTTATTTTACATGAGTTTAATTAAGGGTAGTGGAAAACCTGCATTTGCTTTCTGCTTCTTCTGGCCATGCCAACTTCTTATCTTTGTCTCTATTACAAAAAAACCCCTCAGGTTTTCTTGGGGCTAAGTGGACATGACATTTTTTGGTATGTGGATGTGACAACTTGGAGGAGATAAGATGTGAAGCTTTCTCTTTCTTCAAAAACCTGTTCCAGTCAGTCCTACCCACTCAGCCAAGGGCTGTGATCAGGACCCTTTATGTACTGGGAAGGGCTCCAAGGTCTCCTTGGAGTCTTCTCTTCTCCAGGCTGGACACCCCCAGCTCTCCCAGCCTGGCTCCAGAGCAGAGAGGCTCCATCAGTGACCTCAAGAAATCCACATTTTCCTTGTGTGTGGGGTCCCAGTGCTGGGCAGAGCGCTCCAGGTGGGAAAAGGGATGTGAAACTGCCTTGTTCTGGGAGCAGCTTGGAGCTGTGTGTTTGTGTGTTTGGAGTGAAGCAATCCCAGCTTGCAGGACACAGCCTGGCTGCAGTGCCCAGCCCCAGGGAGCTGGACAGGCTCTGGACACGGATCCCAGCAGCTCCCTGTGCTCTGAGCCTGCCCTGGCGTGGGTGTGGGTGGGAAAACAGCTTGTCCTTCCCATTCCCTGGGCACTTTGATAGATGCTGGTTTAGTTGTTGCTCTGAAATGCTTTGCTTGCTGTTCATTAGAGCTTGGCTGATGCTGCTTTCAGCCATCAGGAAAAGCAGAGTTGATGGGAATATTGAGAAGAGCTTAGAAGTCCATAGGGCCCAGTGGCAGAGAGAATGGGCTTCCTGATGAGCAATACCTTGCTATCACTAGAAAGCTCTTCATGCTTTCCACCCTTAGAGATCCAAAAATATCTGGAAGATCATTTATTAGCTGGTTACTCATCTGCTTGTGAAACGTTTCTCAGGTGGGATTCAGCTCTTACTGTACACAGACACACCCAGGACAAGTGTGCCAGGAAAAACTGTGGAAAACTTTGCTGACTGAAATCACCGAGGGAAGACTGGGAGAGCAGAACTCGACGAGTTGAGATAGAAATGGTTTTGAACAGAGGAGTTGTTATCTCAGTGCTTGCATAAAACCCAAACTGAACCAAACCCCAAAGGGTTTCAAAACACCTCTCAGTGGTGCAGCCACGGCCTCAACGGCTCAGGAGAAAACTCAGCATCTGCTCCTCCAGATACGGCACAGCATCAAAAGTTTGGGGGTTTTGGCAAACCAGAATCTAATCTGATTCAGCTACTGCTCCCCACACTGGGAGGAGCTTGAAAAAGAGGAATAAGGTGTCTTGCTGTTCCCCAAACTGGCCTCCTTAGGGGCACCCTGGTGTGCTGGGGACGTGCCAGCCGATGTTGGTGTTTGTCACCGGTGAGCAGAGCTGGCAGGTGCAAGGACATGGGGCAGCTCAAGCCACACTGGATGTGAAGAGCTTCCACAACTCTCACTTGAGCTATTTTGCTGCCAAAATACACTGAAAATAAGAAAAGCTTTGTTTTTTAACTGAACGAGACCCTAACAGGTCCTCAGATCCGTGAGCAGGATGCGACCTGATGGAAAAGAGATTTGTGGGATGGATGGAGGTGAGGGATTTTATAACTGTGAACACTCTCAGGCCCAGGCTTGTGCAGCACAAGCACATTAAAGCAGCCTCCCTGAAAGAGATTTTCATCTAAATAGGAAATACAGGAGAAGGCTGCCCTAACAGCTATTTTTAATCCCCTTATGCAGAAGTGGAATTGTGGCTGCAGAAGATGAAGTAACTTACCTGGTGTCTAGCAAGAAGCTTATGACTAAAAAAGAACTGAATTTTGATCTCTGGAGCCTCCAGCCCCGTGCTCTGGCCACGAGGACATTGGCTTTTGTGCCTTGTATATCTTTTACCCCATCTAAGCAGCAGAACATGAAGCACAGTCTCAGAATCCACTTTTTTTATGCACACCTGGATGGAAAAATCAGGGAAAGCCCAGCTTTGCCTGACCATATTCAGAATTTACAGGGCAAGTCTCCATCCAGCACTGGGATTTGAGCTTAGAGCTAAAGCTTGGTGTTCTGGGAAACATGGAAGGTTTTAGGGGCTGCATGAAATGCCTGGTGGGACAGACATTAAATTAACTCAGCTGTTTCCTTTCTCACAGATCTGCTAACCCAAAGCAAAATTCCCATGAAACTCCCTGGGATTTCTTCCTACCTTTTCCTATGCAAATCAGAGCAGGTGATAACAATGCCAAGGAAGTTGGGTCCCTCCTCTGGCTGTTCCATGACTGCTGCGTGTTCCCTGTACCCACCTCTGGTCTGTGCAGGAGCCCTGTCACTGTTACAAAATTATCCAGTGAAGTTAATTCACGCTTTCTAAACTGTTAATGACCAGAAAAAGCCAGAACATCTCCATACATCACCAGCTATGAGCTGAAGAACAGGTAGGAAATGCAGGAAACACTGTGCAGTGTTTTATTCTGCTTCCAAGTGCAGACCAAAATCTCCTCCCAAAGTCACATGAGAGGGACGAGGATGAGGTAAAACATTTGGTATCTGGAGCAGTTTGGTCTAGAGATGGGTAAGAGGTGGAAAAGTCAAGGAAACACAAGGAAATACAGGGAAACACATGGAAACACAGGGAAATACATGGAAACACAGGGAAACACATGGAAACACAAGGAAATACATGGAAATACAAGGAAATACATGGAAACACAAGGAAATACATGGAAACACAGGGGAATACATGGAAACACAGGGAAATACATGGAAACACAGGGAAATACATGGAAACACAGGGAAATACATGGAAACACAAGGAAACACAAGGAAATACATGGAAACACAAGGAAATACATGGAAACACAAGGAAACACAAGGAAATACATGGAAACACAAGGAAATACATGTCCATACATCCTCTGTTGCCCTCTGCTGTTGGCTTGTTCAGATGTGAAGGGAATTTTCCCGGTAGTTCCCCATGGGAAGCACACTGCAGCCACGAACAGAAGCCAAGGAGAGTCACAGGATGTGCTGGATGGGAAGGAAAACTGGGACCAGGAGGGAGCTGCTGGATTTGGAGTTCCCAGGAGGAAAAGCATCAGCCTGCACTAGCAGAGCACCTGGAAGTAGAGAGCACCTTTCCATAGGAAGCAAGGGCAGAACTGGGCAGGTCCCAGTGCCAGGGGCACTGTCAGGGTGCCAGCCCACACCAGCCCAGAGAAATGCCAGCAGAATTTCCAGGCAGGATCGGCCACCCCTCACCAGGACTGTCACATGCCAAGGGGAACACGGTGGTTTCAAAGCTTGTCAGCCTTGGGAGATGGATGATGCCTGTGGGTCCCCTGTGACTGAGGATATTCTGTCACTCTGTTTGTGGAAATCTTAAAAGCAATTACAAATATTCAGGAATGACAGAAAAATCAGATCCATCTGCATTGTTTTTTTGGTTTTTTCACATGCACCAGCAGAGAGAAGGGCACCCAACCCCATTTTATCTTCAGCAAACAACCTTTGTTCACAGTTTTGCAGAAGATGCCACCTACCATCATCCCTCAGCTCCCTGCACTGTGATGAACACCTGAACTGAGGGTTGGTCAGCCTGGAATCACGATTTGGTGTTCATCAATGCTTCCCTGTGGTGCCAAGGCTGACCCTCCCCTCCCTGGATTACAGTTTAACTGATTTGTCTCCATGCCATTACCTGTGGTTTGCTTTCCATGTTTTATTGCTTTCCTTATTACCCTACAAAATCAAGAGTTGACTTCACCTCACCTTGTTGGCTGTGCCTAATCCTGACTTCAAAGAATACTGGACAGCTCCTCTCCATCCTTCAGACAAAAGCTCTGAGCAGCCATTCCAGGAATGGAATAAAACCCCAACAAACCCAGTGCTTACAGAGAGGGGAAAGAAAAACCCTAAAAAATCCAAACCCTTCCATCTCCAAGCCTGTAAAACTCCAGCAGGAAGAATCTCCCACACTGCCTGGAACAGACTGAAGCAAAAGACAAGAGAAAACAAAGCAACTCTTGGGAATCCTACTGTAAACAGGAGCCTGCGTACACCCAACGCACTGCAAAGGAACAGCTAATCCCTGGAAAAATGTCAAAGGCACAGTGCTGCTTCTGCCAGCATCTGCAAGTCTGCCTGCCATCCATGGAACAGACAATTCCCACAGGCCTCCCTGCTCTTTGCTTAAAAAAATAAAAAAAGAAGAAGGAAAAAAGTGAAGTACGGCTTGAATGCAAATGGTCCGTGAAAACAGCGAGGAATTTGGGACGCTGCAAGGTTGCTCAGGTGCCTGTCACACAGCAGCAGCTCTCCAGCAAGGTCTCACAAGCTCCTTGGGCAGCACCTGCTCCTGACTCTGCTCTTCCTCATCTCCTTGGATGGAGAGGAAGGAGCTTCCCCATCCCAGGAAATGGGATTGCAAGCCCTGCCCTTCAGCAGTGCCACCCTGCTCCAAACCAGCGAGAGCTGAGCTGCTCCCAGCTCTAATGCTGCCCCTCGTGCTGTCAGCAAGTCCACAAATCACTGGGATCCCAGAAAAATTCCCACTGCTCCTCATATAAAAGCAAACTCCGACCTGACAGGACCTGCTGTACAAATTCCTGCATTTTTGTTGGGCCAACAGAGAACTGCATCAATTCCACAGCACAAGAGGAAAGGACCAGGAGCAGAAGTGAACTCAATTGCTTTATTATTTTTACATCAACAAGAAATATAATTTGAATACAGAGATTTTTAAGACTAGATTTAATCAAGTGCAGTTAGTAGAGAATTGACAATTTTTCTGTACAGGAGTATGAGGACCTCCAATGGAAATTCCTTACCCAAGACTAAAACTTGTGGTGTAATGAGCAGCAGAACAAATTCCCCCACTCCTCACATGGTCAAGTCCACAGAGGTGAGGATATGCCTGAGAAACAACTACATCAGAGCTCTTCTGCCAAGCCTAAAACATGAGAGAAGAGAGTGCAAGCCCAGATTTTATCAAATGGCCACTTGGCAAAGATAGAAACTGCCCTAAAAGCATCCTGGCCACAGCTGGTGGCCTCATTTTTAGGCAGGATTTGCTAAAGAGACAGTCTCAGCTTGAAGGCTCTTCCCAAGCCCTGCCAAGACAGGACAGGCTTTTCCTCCTGCACTCCACCAGCAGCTCCCTGAAGCACACAGAGTGACCAGAATGTGTTGGATACACCCTCACTTCCCTCTCTGCACTCAGGGAGTGGACAGCTGTGGTAGGAGGCTCCTGTGTCCCTGCTGGTCCCTGACCCTGCCTGGCACATCCCAGGACTGGCCCAGGACAGTGCAACTCCCCAGCCTGGTCCCCAGCTAGATGGAGGTGACAAAGGATGGGACAGATGCTTCACCAACCTGCTCATTTATGCTGAAACAAATGAGGCAGAAATCTCATCATCTGCTCCGTGGGCGAGGAAATTGTCACAGAGAACAGTCGAGGGCAGATTGGAATGGAAGAACACAAAATCCCTGCTTTAGCACAACCAAACCCAGAAGGATTGGTGCCCACACCCCCAGCTGCTAAAAGTGTCCTGACAGAACTGAGTCAGTTGGGTCCTGTCTGCTAAAAGAGAGGGATGCAGCCCTTTTGTTGCTCCTCTCCCCTCTAGTGGATCCCAATGGGCTTTGTTTTGGGGGCTGACTTCATCACCAAAAGATAAAAAAAACCCAAGAGCTGGGATTTATTTGTTCTAAGAACCTCAACATGGTGATAGGGAAATTTTCTGAGCACTTTTAATAGCCTGAATGACACCTTGAATCACACTCATTATCAGCTCATTTGGGTTTGTGCTTAGAAATGTTACGACGTAAGTTCAGAAATCATAAAAATCCATAAAAAGTCTCATATTCATTTTACAGACCCGACTTTAAAGGACTTGACTGTGCCATAAAATATTAAAATGTGTCTCTAAAGGTGTTACTGGCTCTCTAACCACTAAGGAGCCCCAGGCACTGGGTCTCAGATAAGAAATGCCATTGCTATTTCCAGTCAAAACCTGCAAAAAAACCCAAAGGGTAAATTCACAGGTGTGCTGTGGGGCATGACATAAGGAAGCTCAATAAAACATGCAAGAGAACCTCAGCAGGAAGCAGGGAAGGAAAAAAGAACCTGCTGTTGTCAGGGTTTGTGCAAACTTCTCCCAGCCAGGAGTGCAGGAAGGGATGAGATCACAACCTACGTAAAGAACTTGAAATGATTTTGACTCTGTTTTGTCCTCTGACATGGTAAGTTGAAATACAAAACCCAAGTGAGAAATCTGGGCTCCATGATTTTAATGTTTAAATTAAATGTACCTGCCCTCAGGATTTTTACCAAAGGAATTGGATGCAAGAGTAACAATGTTATTAATTTGAGATCCTGGAAAGAGAAATCCAGGGTTACAGACTTGGCACAAAACCCAGCATGAGTTTTCTCTATCAGAAATTAAAATGACAATTAATCAGATGCATTTTCTAAAACATCAGGCAATACCTGTGGAGAACACCACTGTGTTCAGGGAAAATCAATTCTAGCCACAAAAATAAGCAAATGCCCCCAAAAATCAGGAAATGTCACAATGAAATGAGTTTGTCAGTGACCCAATCTCAGAGGTTTCTGGCAGCCTCAACCCCTCAGGTACCATTACTGCTACCACTTATCAAAATATCATTGGGATAGGATTTTCAGTTCTCCCTTTGGCATTGGTTCAGCTCTGAATCAGTCCCACACAAACACAGTTACTGTCTCCCACTGTCCCTGAAGCAACTCCACATGGACTGAACTGCTCTGCTGGATTCCCAGAGCAATCCCTGCTGGTTAATCACAGCTCCCATCCTTCCAGCCATCCCTCCAGCGCTCATCCACACGGGAGCAGTCAAATTCCGACTTCCCCAGCTTCCTGTTCACTTCGTTGTGGAGGAGACACAGCCACTGGGAGAAGTTAC